CTAGAAATAAAGAAAATAAAAAGGAGAAAAAATTAAAGAATGAAACAGAAATAAATAAGAAAGAAAGAATAGGAAAAGAAAGAAAGAAAATAGGAAACTGAAGAAGCGAGAGAGAAGAAAATTGGAAAAAAGGAGAATTTGAGAAAAACCATGGAGAGAACACTAACAAAAATTGCAGGAAAGTGTTTTTTTTTCCCTAGAACTTCCTTGTTAATTATATCTTCATTTCATGGAATTCGCGTCATCCTCCTGTATACCCACAAGTCTGTTGACTCCTTCATCAGTCATGAGAATTTCCAGCATTCATTTCTATATAGGAGGACGGATATTACATAATAGTACTGTACTCTTATATTTATTTTCAATTAAATTTTCCAGTTTCTTAGCTTTTCGAAGGCATCTTTCGCTACTGCAATGTTCCCTCGGATTTCGTTGTCGGTCTTTCCCTCCTCTGTTAAAATACTTCCTAGATATTTATTTAGTTTTTACTTATTTGATTTTCCCGTTTCTTAATACTTTTCATAGCTTTTCGAAGGCATCTTTCGCTATCCCAATTCGCCTTCGAATTTCGGTGTCTTATTTTCTGTCCTCTGTTAAAACACTTCCTAGATATTAATTTTTTTTGTACTTGTTTGATTTTCCTGTTTCTTAATATCTTTCATAGCTTTTGGAAGGCATCTTTCGCTATCCCAATTCGCCTTCGGATTTCGGTGTCATAATTTCCGTCCTCTGTTAAAACACTTCCCAGATATTTAAATTTTTGTACTTGTTTCATTTTCCTGTTTCTTAATACTTTTCTTAGCTTTTGGAAGGCATCTTTCGCTATCCCAATTCGCCTTCAGATTTCGGTGTCGTATTTTCTGTCCTCTGTTAAAACACTTCCTAGATATTTATTTTTCTTGTACTTGTTTGATTTTCCTGTTTCTTAGTCTTAGTCTAATATTCGTCCAACCCTACCCACTTCTCATTTTTCTCTCCATCTTTATATATGATCCTGTGTTTGTCATTGACAAAATCTCCTTTATTTGCCTACCGAGGTCCGCATACGCCGAAAATATTTAGCCTATTCAATTTCTACTTTTATATCATCTAACAAGCCACATTGATTTAGTGTTCTGGCAAAAGTCCCTCAAAACTATGTCTAATTTGATGCAATCAGCCGCTGAATGACGATCCGGTGACACCTGTCGCTCATGTCCTCCCTTACCTGACGAACGAGCACCTCCAAACAGTCTGACCATCTTCCCGTTGTTCTTGTTTACATTTTTGCTAACAATAGCTCCTAGATAACGGTCAGGTAACACCTTCACTCTTTTATCTCTGATAATAACGTTGTTGAGAGCTATGAATTATATTGGGAATGATAATAGTGATTTCCCTTTTGCCTTCTCCACTGTGATTTTATTGAGACACAATTTCTATTTAATTTCCCGTAGTTCTTGTTTACATTTTTGCTAACAATAGCTGCTAGACGATTGTCAGGTAACACCGTATGCCCCTTTTTATCAGGCAAAGAGTTAATCGCAATGGACTTAACTTCCCTTCATGCTGTTATCTCTGATAATAACGTTGTTGATTGCTATGAATGATCTTGGGATTGATAATAGAGTCGTTCCCATTTCGCCTTCTCTTCTGTGATTTTATTGAGACACAATTTCTAGCTAGATGACCGTTAACTCATCAAAAGTTCTTCCGTTCTTTGATACGTCTTATTTTTCAAGGATTCTAACCACTTGTCTGCATCTTGTGTCGCCTTTATAAATATTTTCATAGTAATCGTCCTAATGAGACGTCGTCCTTTGTACCTCGGCCGGGTGAATTTAAGCGTACTATTTAGACTGGCAATTAGTTCACATCCTTTTACTCTTGAAATAGCTAGTTGTAATCGTGTGTTCTATTTTAATAGTCTTTTTTCCTCTCACTCGTGGAGCTGTCTTCTGGTGCAATGCTTCCTACTATCTTCAAAAATTTAAATAGAACGTCAATCGCCATCTTGTGTCAAGTCAATTCAGGAGATGTGGAATCATATTTTTTGTTGCTCGACGTAATTGTTCCTTTACCATCCTTCTTTAACCTTGCTCTGCCATCAATCCCACCAGACGAGTTAAGTAGGGTTCGCTCTGTTTTTCTGTTTCGTTATGTCCTTGGAACTTTCCAAGCCTTCTTTCCTCATTATGCATGCCAGAAATATCAATTTTTTTCTTCTAGTGTCCTTGTTTTTCTTAAGACTTCCTCGTTTTTCACAAGTTATGTCCATGGTATCCTCAGCATCCTCCTGTAGAACCACATTTCTGTTGCTTAAGGCCCCTATCCCCACTTCATCCAGTATTTACTGACATATAGGTTTTTAAATATCATACAGTAGTTCAGCAACCTTTTATTTGATTCTAACGGTATTTTTCGTTCTCTTATTACTTTGCTTAGTTTCTGAGAGGTCCTTTTCACTATTCCTATGCGACTTAGGATATCTGTCATATTTTCCGTCGTGTATTACCACAAACCGCGGATAGTTATTCTTATGTACTTGTTTGATTTTGACATCCCCAAAATGTAGCTCACACTTTGGGCTGTCTCTTTTGCTGACAGCCATAAATTCTGTTATCTTGGAGTTAATTGTTAGTCATTGCTTACACTGAATAATGATGCTATGGAGTTTTATAAACAAAATGCTGGAAGCTTTTGCATTAAACTGATACGATGGAATGTAGGATTTATGATCGAGTTAGGTATTTTAAAAACCTTCTCCGATCAATGATTAAGGGGCTTCGAGCTAATAAATACTGTAGGTCTTAGCGAGGACCGTCCATCTTCATACCCGGTAGACTGGCTGTTTGGTCAATGAATGCTGAAAATTTCCCGATATAGAAGCGCTTTTATCTTAACTATTCCTAGACAATGTTTATTGTTTTAAAAAGCGATGATTAGAATTGTAGTAAAATCTAAAAAAAACATATGATGAAAATGAATTCTTACATTCTTTTGTTTCCTGAGAATTTACAAATAGAAATAGTAAACATTATTTATTTACTAATATATTTTTATTTACAACATTCTAAAAACTAATAAAATTGTATTACGCCTAAAGCAATGCAATATTTATCAAAATACATATCAAAGTAATGTTTTATTTATAAATTTGAAAACATTTACTAAATTATTAAAATATTTAAACCAACTATAAGTAAATCCTTATTATTAATCCATTTTATAAAATTCGAATCAGCTGTTAGCCATGTTCACCATAGTCTATGAATATAGAATACAGCGCAGTACATAATCCGTTCAATGAAAGATTAACACCCACAAGTCAGACACTCTACTGAATCTGACTATATCGCTAATACCACCAGCAGCTGTTCTGTAATTCTTCAGTCTTCGATATCAAAGGCTGGCAGTGAGTATTCGGGAAAAACATGGCCGCCTTTATACACATCGCATTGAATATTTTGAGCCTTCTGATTGGTTAACCCTTTTAATGGTGAATTATAAAATTAGTCAGATCATATTGGCTGGCTCACTAGCACCCCAAAAATTCCAACATCAGCTGCCAATTAGCCGATGTCTTGACCAAAATTCCAACAAGCAATATATTAATATGTGCAAATAAACAATCTAATCAATAAATACTGTTTATTATTTTTGTTATAAATTCACTTTGATATGTTTAGAGTTTATTACAATTCTAATCATCGCTTTTTCAAACCAAAACATTGCCGAAATTGTGAAGGTACATGCTTGTGCAAATAAACTGAAACAACCGCTTTAGTTTCCTTTCTTTCCTCATACGTTTAATTTTAGACACACTGGAGAGACAGGGTGTAATCGATTTCTATTTTTTGCTCAGATTAAATCATTTGCAGTGATGCGCAGTAATATGAATCTGTTTTCGGGGCGTGTGATGAAATTTGTTTGGCTTTGAAAAATATTGCGTCATCCGTGATTGTTTAAGATTTTTATCACGCCCAGACACTATTGTCTCGGCTGTCGATTAGTTGTCTTACGGTCATTGTCACCGATGGATTTACTCCAAGAAAATGTACGAAAATTATAACGCTGCACAAACACACTGGCAAGCTTTAAAAGTGAGAAAATCAAAGTACTGTAGAGTGGCCGGGAAACTCTCCTGATTTAAATCCAATCGTGAATCTGTGGCCAATCTGCAAGGAACGACTTCGTGGAATGGATATACGAAGTACTAACATGTGCACTGGGTCATGTTTCATTGGAAAAATACGAAAAATATAACGGAATTATTCGTTTTGTTTCAATTAATTTTCACAAGGGTGTAGTTAATATAATAGCGGTGTCAAAGGAAAAACGTTCTTTTGAAATTCTGTTTATTTTTTTTTTTTGGTTTTTTGGTTTTTTGCACAAAGGTCTATCTTTGTCGAAACGGTTAATATTACTATTTAAATTATTAAAATATCTTATCTAGCCAGAGTGAAAGCTTTGAAAAAATATTACGATGATGGTACGATTTCATTTGAATAAAAAGATGTTACCTAAAATACTGTGAAACTTTCCATCAACCGAATTATATAAATTTACATCTCATCATTAGTCACCCTATTATCGCAATTAACTGATAAAATGTAATTAAATAACTACACTATAAGTTAATGACACACATTCAGTTTTACCAGCTTCATTGATCGTATTAACAATAAAACGTATATAAATCCAGTTTCTTTCAACACAACTGTTTCTCCTTGCCCCATGTTCATGTCGAATGCTGATTTATTTATTTCTTTCATACCAAACGACTTCCAGATGTTTATTACTTTTTTTTCGGATGTAAACTCTTTATTTGCACAAATTTAAAAGTAATTTCAAATGTACGATTTCCCGGAAGTGGCTGTAATGGACGCTAAATAAATCGAGTAACCAGATCTTCACAACAGTTTCTTGCTTGACGCTGGTGTTTTCTTTTCAAACATCTTTCATTGATGCGAATTCCTACACATTTGTATCGAAGCTTATATGGAGACTATTCCGAAAAT